AACATTTTCCCACAAAAAGACATGAAGGTTGTAAGACTCTTAGTGCAGCTCATAAAGCCAGCCCCAGGGGTACAGGGTGAAATGCTGTTACTAATACCAACATTAATCACCACTGATAATGAGGTCCACTTGGGATGCTGGCAACAAACCTCTCCACATAACATCAGTAGGAGCGGGCAATCATCTGGATAACAGAAATCTGGTTTTCACCATGACAACTAAAATTTTATTATAAAACAACCACACAGAGCCAAAACAAAACAAATTCTCAGTTCCATAAAATAAATCATACCGACACCGAAATAACTCTGTAACTTGATACAAAGAGGTGCCTCAATTTCTTTAGTTTCTTTGTCATAACAGTACAATTTTTTTTTTCCTACACAAAATTTGGTTTTAGCTTTCCCACATATAAGGGCCCATAGCAACATATACACCTTAGTACCTGAGATCATATAAATTTATACAATGAACAAATAAATGTCACTATTATCATTATTTGCTGACACTTAACTTCCAAAAGTGTAGGGCAGAAAATGTTATGACAATGTCTCCCTGCTTCTATAAGGTGGCAAAGATTTACTGACCTTTTATTATCATGTTCTGGCATTATATCATGAATTTTTTTTCTTCAAATTTGTTATTCAAATATCAGGTCTGTCTCTTTCCTTGACATTAGCTGTATGCTCATTATTTTAAGGATGAGAGCCCTCAGCATTCCTGCCCAGTTCTGCAGGGGTGCTGTGGTAAATTTCTCATAGTACCCAAGAAAGGTTATTTTTTTAGTAGCTGTTTTTTATACTTTTCAGGGGAAAGATGATTTTTCAAATAATTACCTTCATACCAAGTTTTCTTCATTATCTCATGATGCAGGTTAAACTGCAGTTTTGCATTCCCATTTTTATTATTAAGATAGCCAATGAAGACTCAGCATTGCTGAAGCATATTTATGTACTCAATCAACAAATATTCCTTGAGTGTGTGTTAGGTGAAAGGTACCCAGGTGGGCACAAAGAAGAATCAGACATGAATCTAGCCTGTAAGCAACTGGCCATCTCATAGAAGCATCAAGACATGCTCTAAACATTTTTTGCCCTTTGCTATGGCTAGTCAAGTCTCAACAAAGTAATGATAGATAGTGGCAATTCATATGATTCCAGGTATCAAGATCCTACAGGATTCAATTATTTGTCCTAAGTCTGAGATGTAAGA